TGGGATCGTTGTGTTCACTCCCAGGGGAACTACTTCGAGGGTGATGGATGAATTTAATACCTGAGATAAGTGTACGGGTTTTTATACGCGCAGTCTAGAAACCTTCCGATCGCACCTCGTATAATCCTGAGTTTAATCTTTTACATTTTTATTTTGATTGGATTATTTTATGATTACAGAGCGATTTAATCGACTCTGAACCCATCACAATCAATCAACTTTATTGTAATCTTTCCTACAACAAAATAAAATATAACATTATTTGAAAGAAATAAAATGTGCGTCTAAACATCCCATCGAAAACAGTTCTTATCTGTTTTAATAAAAGGAAAGGCTGTGCCTGACGTGTCAAGCTTGAATCTATTTAGATTCGTGTCTACTTCTTTTCTTAGAAATTCTGTTGATACGCGCCCTGAGAACTTTTATTGTTTCACTGACATAGATTCTTTAAATGTATAAATTTAAACCAATTAATTCATTGACTTCAATGGATACATTTCCACTTGTCAAGGCTTTGTTCTCCTTGTCTAAATTCCTAGGACTAGCTCCCTTCGTTATGGTAAATACCAGCGATGGTTGCGCTTTACGTGTATCAAGGGGTGCCGTAATTTACAGCACTGGAATGCTGATCCTAATTTCTGCCTTTCTGATCGACAGAATATCATTCCGAAAGGATTTTCATATGAGTAGCTGGCCAGTCTCTGTAGCGAACACAGTTTTTCAGCTGTCAACAACCCTCTTCACCTATTGGGCATCTTACATTTCATGTATCACAAATTGTTCGAATATGGCTAAAGTTCTGAAACAAATTTTCACGTCAGTTTTCTCACAAAATGTCTTGCTGCTCAAGTACAAATTATTTAATTTCATACTTGCGTTCCAAATATTTGGAGGGTTTATAACCTTCGGCGTGCTCTATTACATTGAGTGGTGCCACGACTTGTATCCTGACTACAGCGAGATGATCCCGTACATCGTAATAGACTGCTGCGATTATGTGTACGTACTGCAGCTCATAGATCTGGTCCTCTTGTTGGGACATTACTTCGACGTTCTCGGTTCTAGAATTCACAAATTATGTAAAGATGACGAGGACTTGATTTCGGTCAAGCGAAATACAATCGTCTCTCTTAGCCACTATGGAATTTCGTACGAGAAGACTTCAAAAATATCGTCTCGTGTCAAGATCCAGGAACTCAGTTGTCTGTATAATTCTCTTTGTGATACTGCAGAATTAGTTAACAGTATTTATTCATTTATGATATTAGTGAACAGTGCGGGGGCGCTTGTTGGAATCACTTATGGTTTATACATTGCATCTATCACGATATTTGATAGAATTAATGCGCATGATCGGGAACTGAATCCTCTTTTACCGACGCTGTCATGGAGTGCTTTCTACGTGACGATGCTTGTGTGCGTAGTCACTTCCTGCAGCTCAACATGTCGCAAGGTAAGTGAATTGCTCGCCGTTGCTATAAAAGCCGTCACCAAATTGCATGCTTCAACGCCACAGCGAAATCGTTCGCCTTTGAAACACGAAGAGAAAAACCCTGGCCAATGAGAGCTCAGAATTCGCAGAGTAGCAAAGTTAGCAAAGCTGTACCGGTGACTAAGCCGCGTGGCCTTGAATCAAGAAGTTCGGTGGCAACAATATAGCTACAAGTCTTTAATTAAAAAAGAAAAATTACGTTTCTTTCATGATAAAATCTAAACAAAGTTATTCTACCTGTTTATGTTTGTTTAATTATCTCAAAAAACCGCAAAGCTTACGCAAAAAGTTTACTGGGGCAAAACACGTGTTTAATTTTTCTTTACGATTAAGCATTTAGGCAGTTATGCTCCAGATGGGAGCATAAATGTATGCAGGTCTTCATGAAAACTATTCGTTGTTATTATCCGATTTTAACTAAAATGTGGCTGTGTCTACAGATTTCAGAAAATAAATCCTCAATATAAAATTTCATGATAAACCGTCTCACTGTTTATAGGCTAATTTTTGGTCCTTGGACTGTATATAAGATCAAGTGCCAATATTTTCAGTCTGTCAACACATATAATAAGTGAGCCAGTAGTATACTAATAAAATAATTCTGTAGTTGTTATATACTTCATTAAATAAACGCTATAAAAGACTGCACTTCCTTAGACTGAATCAGGTCAAGGACCAGGTCAGAGTTAAAGCTGTGACGCATCAATCTTGTTCTACATCTCGGGGCCGGCGGTGGCTCTGAACTGACGGATGGATGGAATAATGATCTACAGCGGAAAATACATCTATTCTGACGAACGCCAGCCAAAATGAATCCAAATATGGTCTAGTAAACAGCGCTCTGACGCCGACTATTGTCGAAAAGTTTCTCGTCGTTTTCCTCGGACTCTGCAGAAAAATTGTAGGGTAGTGTTTTAATTTTGGTTACGATCACCTCTTAATTCATCACAAAGAACCATTTTTCCTCTCAATTTTATTCAACCTATGAAGATGAGGAGATGTTGTTAAATAAACTTACAAATGACGCTTAGGCTCTCCGATATCTTACTGACTGTCCTGGGATTGTGTCTTGTCAGCAAACATAAATAAGACTTGCTCAGCAAGATGAAACATTCTGATGTGGAATTTAGAAATCCAGAATGGATCACATGAATTCGTATCTTGACTTCTTGGCACGCGCTGCAATTTAATTTTGCTGGCGCGTTGTTTCTAATTTTGACTATATGGCGACTCTATGGATTTGGTAAGAACGTAATGTAAAATATTTACATCACAATTATGGTTAGTTGAATGGCACGAGCTGGTTATTCCAATACTAACAGAATTCCTGAGAAAAATGTATTTTCTTTTTCAAGTTATCTCCAGTTTGTATATAATTTAAAGAAAAACGTATTTATCAAGTTTTAAAAGATAGAAACAATTTATTTGTCAGTTTTAGAGTTAACACCGCACAGTCGAATTTTCTCCAAGTATTTACAATAAAGTGAATCATCAAGATGGACCTCAGTCCACGTACTTTTCGCACAGTATCCTGTGCATTAACTTTGTTCTTTACATTACTCATAACATAAACATTAATTGTAATTTGACTTAGTATTAACATTAATTTCCTTTCTTCCCTTAGTAAAGAGGTTTCTCAGAATACTTCATCATCATCATTAGGGTCACCCCGGTGACCTGGTGGTTACTATCCTACATTCAAATGTCGCAGGTTCGATCCCAACCGTTGTCACAAAGAATACAGAAAAAAATCTGTTTTATAACAACTAATCATGTGAATACGAGAGTAGAGACAACTCCATCGGCATGCCGATTACGTATAAAGCCGTTAGGAATAATGAAGTCTTAAATTGCTTTCTTTCTTCCTGAGATAGCTTTGCAGCAGCCTGATTAGACCAAAACTTGTAGTTTGGAATTCTCTTACAAGAGCTGACTTAAAAAACTTGAATGTATCCAGGACATATTTCTTACTTTAAGTCATAAAAACGATGTAAAAGCCTGATTCATGCAATTACAATTATGTTTTGGAAAACTTTAAATTGAACACGTTATGTGAGAGACGGATGAGCCGGGATAGCTCAGTCAGTATAGTGACTAGCTACGGGCTGGACGACCGGGGTTCGATCCCCGACGGGGGCAGAGGATTTTTCCTCTAGCCTCTGCGTCCAGACTGGCTCTGGGGCCCACCCAGCCTCCTCTACAATGGGTACCAGGGGTAAAGCCGGCCGGGGCGTGATGCCGACCACTCACCCCCATCTAGTGCCGAGGTCAAGGAAGAGAGGAGCTACACCTCCACTCACCCCAAACGCCTACATGGCGTATAGCGGGACAAACTTTGCTTTACTTTATGTGAGCGACGGCGTTACTTCGACGTTATTTATATCAGCTTAATTACACATCCCTGTATTTTAGAAACTGTTGGTGTTGGAGGTACAAGCAGAAATGTAAAAGCCTGGAATGATTTCGACACTTGGTTTTCAAGCAGCAAATGCCCTTATATTCGCAGTGCCTTAGTTGACAATGAGATTTGTACTTACCGTTAACATGATTGATAATAAACTATTTAACACATATCTTTTGTTTAAATCGATTAATTGGTGATTACCATTTGTGCTGCCTTCTGCAATGTCTTACTGTGTTCTCTTCATTTAGGAGTGTGTATTGCTTATCTTTGTTCCTTGTATTTATTTCATCTTCTTGGCTCGCGTAACTGTTCAGAGGATGAGATGTTGAGTTACAATTTAATTACAATGAATTGAATTATTATTTACAGGCAAATCGAACTGCTGTTCTGGTCCACAAGCTACTGAGCAAGACCAGAGACCCTGGAGTAAAGGAAGAAGTATGTATGTGCCACGCCCACATTATTTCCGTGATCAAAGATTTGTCTGCCTCGAAACTGTCATGCTATTTAAAATATATTTCATTATGCCTGTCGCAGGCTGAACTAAAATGTATTTCTTTCTGAACAGGCCTATAAATCATCGAGGGTAAATGGAAGTACGGTGTTCATAATGTTAGCGAGATATAATTAAATCATTAATGTTAGATTTTAAGTATGTGGTAATGTTTTTGTTTGCGATTTGCTACTGTTATTAAAAAACAGTTTGATTGAAGAGTTAGTAATATGCAGATCTTGAAAGAGATTTAAATACTGTAGACCTGCATTAATATATTTTCCTTCTAAGAATATGAAACGTGAGAAGGATATATAGTTTTCAAAATCCCCTACCACTCTACACAACAGTTCTCAAAATAGGCACTTAATTCACCCTTCAAATAAGTCGCTTCTTGTATTACAAATATGCACGTAACTGAAAACGAACAAAATTTACGTTTCAGCTCCAACTGTTTTCACTGCAGCTGCTACATCGGAAAGTCCAGTTCACTGCTTGCGGGTTTTTCCCGCTAGACTTCACTCTCCTGTATTCTGTAAGTTGCTGATTCAATTCAATTAATTCAATTCAATTAATTTATTTAATGAATTTGAATTGAATTGATGAATTTATATTTAAATAAAATAAATCACAGATAAACAACTTGGTCTACATAAAATAAAATTCCTTTTGTTTTCAGATAAGGTCAAGTTTATGATTCAATACGCTATTTAAAGTTGTCAAAATCCTCGAAAAACAGATCAGTAATTGTAAGATTTGAGGTTTTCACAGCGGTGAGTATGAAGATTTCTGTCTTCATACTCTTCGCCCTGATGATGGAGGCAGTATGACCTCTGAAACGTTGGTTATCATCGACCAGACTACACAGCGCAACAACCCAGAAGACAGAAATCTTCATACTCATCGCCCTGATGACGGAGGCAGTATGACCTCTGAAACGTTGGTTATCATCGACCAGACTACACAGCGCAACAACCCAGAAGACAGAAATCTTCATACTCATCGCCCTGATGACGGAGGCAGTATGACCTCTGAAACGTTGGTTATCATCGACCAGACTACACAGCGCAACAACCCAGAAGACAGAAATCTTCATACTCATCGCCCTGATGACGGAGGCAGTATGACCTCTGAAACGTTGGTTATCATCGACCAGACTACACAGCGCAACAACCCAGAAGACAGAAATCTTCATACTCATCGCCCTGATGACGGAGGCAGTATGACCTCTGAAACGTTGGTTATCATCGACCAGACTACACAGCGCAACAACCCAGAAGACAGAAATCTTCATACTCATCGCCCTGATGACGGAGGCAGTATGACCTCTGAAACGTTGGTTATCATCGACCAGACTACACAGCGCAACAACCCAGAAGACAGAAATCTTCAGATCAGTAATTAAATCCTTGTGAGCCCATTAAACTGCAATATTAACGAAGAAAATTATTTATCATCGTTTGAGTACTGTTGAAAGAATCCTACGTATTTGTCGTTGTTACAATGCTTTATCAGCCATAGGTTGAACAGAAACTCCGTTTCGGAGGTTCTGTCAAAAAAAAAAATCGAAATTCGGTAATTCCGTCTTTGGCCATCATGTTTCAGCATTCAGTTACTCTGTATATTGCCCACAGAACATAGACTATTAACTATTTACAGGTTTTGTATTATTCTCGTAATAAAAGCGATCATTTCCTTTAACAGCCTCAACCTACAGTTCTTTGTAATGGAGACGTGTTGTGATTCTTTGAAGTTCAGTAAAAACCGATTTCTTAAAAGTTATTTAGATGAGCTTCGCGTTTCAACGGATTAATCGACTATGGTCCACAAGAAGATTTTCCGTCATATTTGATAACTGTGATTACCTTTTTATATGTTCTTGCTTGTTGCAGATCATCGGAGCGGTGACCACGTACTTGGTGATCTTAATACAGTTTCAGCTCTCCTTCGCGAACCCGAAACAGAATGGTACCGTCTCAGCTGTTTTGCCTGTCAGCACGAGTTCAGATCTCTTCACACCAACTCTGCCTCCGTAGATTAAACCATGTGGTGATCCGTCAAGTCTCAGCTTACAATTTAAAACAGGCCGAGAGGATAAATGTTCAATGTCTCGAGTTTTCTATCTTATTCAGTCCGCCATTAATGTATCTTGTTCTGGTTTTCTTTCAAGCGCTTGGGATGAGAAAGTGTGCTGTGCATTAACCGACTAAGGACCAGCTACTGTTTTCATTTTGTAGACTTTGTAAAAACACTTAAATGGAATACAGTTACGATCAAAATAAAGATATGGAATAGGACGAAGAAAAATGAAAGAAAACTTTATGTATTACGAAATAAAGAGTGAAGTTTTCAAGTAAGATTTTACAGTGGCTGTTGCAATGCAGAAATTATTAAAAATCGAATAAATTGAGCATTCCCTTCGAATATTGCACTTTAACCAGACAATTATTCTCCACGTTTTAATATAAAATTATATCTCTCCACTTAAGGCATTACATAATTTGTGTAACTTTCCTAATATAATATATTTGCAACTTTAAAATTAAATCAGATTGCTCCGGACATAAAATATGTGCGAAATACTTACAGTTGTTTCTTCCGCAGGCTACTTTTTCAGAAAAGCTCTTGCAAGGAACAGAGGAAAGTAAACAAATCAGGTTGTACTTGTTAAGTTACGTATTTCTATATGTGACGAGGTTCTCACGGAGGTAAATTTATCGAGGTTACTTTTCTGCCTCTGCTTAGGCATGTGAACGTGAGGCCGGCAGTCAAGCTAGTCGGCTTTGGCTCTCTGGAGCTGTTACGCCACGGATTTAATTTTAATTTAATTTAATTTAAATAAATTCGGCGTTATATACAACTAATTTGTGCAACAAAATATCGCGTACAACATAAATCGCCTCGTTGTTATTAAAACGTTTACGTCCAAAAATAGACGTAATATATCTGTTCCACATCGAGATGTTTCGTAAGCAAAATTCCTCAACTTAATCTCTCCTTAAACACTACTAGATGGCTCCAGCAGACAAATCACGATTGAGTGGAAATTGTGCAGAGGCAGTAGGTTTGTTACTCGCTACTCATAAATGCACGCTTCAGAAGACAAGGAATCCTCCCACGTGGGGTATAACGAGTTTCCACTGTACTTGTATTTATTCCTAGTTATATTATTATTATTCTGTGCTAATTAACTACATACAACCCTTTTTTGAGATAGTAAATAAATATGTCTTATTTTGTGCAATTACGAAGTCCACTGCCATGTCCACAGGAGCTCGCCACTGGTCCCCATACCAAGCCAGTTGAATCTAGTCTATACATTCCGTTTCTCTAAAATCCACTTTATTATTGCCCTCCCATCCAAGCTTGTGTTTCCCAGATGGTCCTGTCTTCTCAGATATTTCCTCTAATTTACACTATTGCAGTGAAATTTATAAAACTGAAGAAAAAAGAACTTTACTGGCAGATGGCTCCGTGTATCAAAATTGCCCCTATAAATTTTGCATTTCTTCTCAGGCAGTGTAAAGTCTCTTCGTCTTAAAACGCGTGGATATTTTTCTTTAGGCATTTAGAAGAAGATGGCTGTCGTCTGAATTGCAACACCCTGTAGTTTCGTCGTCGTAGTCATTTTAACGTAAATTCTACTGATGAAACCAGTTCGGTTATTAACAGGACACCATAAAAGAACTTTCCTTCTATCGTCTCGATAACGGGAATACTCACGAAAAAGTAGGTTGAGCATAAAATCCTTTTAATTGTTCTCTAAGTTTCTTCGAAACATTTCTCACTGCAAGGTTGGCTCGAGATGCGAGGAGAATCGTATTAAGTTTGTATATAAAGTGTCAGTTACTGTTACCAAATTTTAAAATAAACTAATATGTGATTATATATTTTAGTATAACTTTTCAATATCAAATTTAATGAAGACCAGTTCAGAGATTCCAGAGTTTTTACAAGTGAACAGACGACCAGTGCAATGCTGTTACATAATAAATAAGTCAGGTTTAGTATAGAGATGCAGGAATGATTTGCTACACGATATTGTAATATTAATCAGATTCGAAAAATGTCCATACTCACAAACTTCTCGAATGCTGTAAAACGTCATAGGAACTCGTCTGTCGAATCGCCTAGGATCACCCAGAAAACACCTAAGCCAAATGTAAAGGAAACAATAATTCTAACACAGACTTGTAAAAGGTTTGTATTTGAGAACAAATTACAAGACGCTGAGTAGTGCCTCAAAAAGGGAGGTCCTGAAGAGGAAGGAGTATGTTTAAAATTTCTTGCTTATTCACAAATGTTGGACGGTTGAACTCACTGAGAATGTGAAACGCGGATTTCAAAAGAATTCATCAACTCTAGCCGGTTAATAAAGCATGATACACGTTTAAACCACTGTTTTTAACGCACATATAAAAGAAATGCTTCCTTATTTCGTAAAGCAATATCATCTGTGTTTATGTGAAAATAATATACATATATACAGAATGACCCCCCACCCCCCCCAAAAAAAGACGTACACATTCAATGAATAAAATAAATACATTTAAATAGATTAAACCCTTACACACATCAGCACTGGCACTTCATGAATTGGTGAATATAGCGCAGATGTTTAGATTGACCACCGTTAGCTTCGTCGCAACTGGCTAATAAGTGGCTACAAAGCTGTTGCTGCTGGGACGACTGCGCAAGACCGTCCTTGGAGGAGCTCTTGAAGTGTTGCTGGCTTTGTGCTGCACACCGCGTCCTTCAAGTAACCCCATAAAACAAAGTCAGGCGTGGGTGCTCGTCAAATCCTATACGTCCTAGCCATCGGTCTGAATCATAGGAAATGATACTGCGGTGCCATCTGATGAGTGCATAGCAAACTAGGTCCCCTCGTAAATTCAACAAGCGAAATCGATAACAAGGTTCGTATTCCGTATTGCAATGTGTATACATCATTTAGGGACGAGCGCGTGTGTGTTGGGAAAAGAAAAACGAAGAGGCACTGTTTAGCTGCTCTGGGTGATGATTTACTAGAGATAAAGGATATTATATTTGACTTGAAGCACTAGATTTCAGCAAGAATTCATTAGTCATAAAGATAAAGGTTTTAATTACTCCAAAAGATTAGCTTAAATATTCGTTAAATAAAACTCGTTATGTGCAGGTGGTGTAAAACTTTCTTCGAAATCAGAACAGTTCCAAAGCTAAGGTCACTGCTCTAACAAAAGTCAGTGGTCTGGCGACCCGCAACACTCTCGCTGCTCTGAATCTCAGGAGACGTGCTGGCATCAGAGACTTCTTCCTTTTCCAGCAGCCTTGGCCCGAGCACTGTGATAAGAGTGGCACCGACTGGTGCGGTGATCAGGATGGCCAACACAGCAACAATCAACAGCTTACTCGCGTATACCTCATCTTCAACTGACTTGATTTTCCTTGCGATATCAAGAGCCACTGGTCCAATAGCGGCCTACATAAAACAAATTAAAATTCGGAAACTGAAAACGTTTGAAACATGATTTAAACAAGCAAGTTAGACTCGGATTACCTTTGTATTAATATGACGGTGTAAACACGGAACTACATTAAGTATCTGTATTATCGTATATTGGGTACCTTGTGTATAAAATGAGTTCTATTTTCCAGCTGTTTCCTTGAACTGTCACACGCGAACATTGTAATGATACTTTGGGTTTGATGACAGCTTGAAAATTTTGTAAGAATTTGAACCAAAAAGAATCTACTCCGAGAAGTTTTGTTTTCTTCTGGATACCAAAGTAGTGCATAAAGAAAAAATTTCGCAGCGAACAATTCAAGGATAAAGCTGCTGATTGCTGAGTTAAAGGAAGTGTTCCATATTTGTGTAGATCGTAGAAGGACAATGCAAACCAATTTACCTGTACTGTTGCTTTGGGAAACCACGCCCACGAAACAAACAACTTCTCCTTCAAGGTCAGATTCCCACCGGATGCTGCAACTACTGAAATTAAAATTCTCGCCTATTTGGAAGAAAGAATAACATATGAGTGTTCAAGTGATCATACAGAAAACTATTGAAACTATTTACTGAATATACTGCTGCATAAAGGTTTTGAAGAAAATTGTATTTCGTGTCTCCTCTACAGTTAATACTGTACTTAAACCTGTCTTGTATTAAATCCTCCGCATGTATATATGTGTACTGTCTGTCAGTTATGTACGTCATTATACATCAAAATGCATCAGTAAGCTATGATCCAGACTGTTTGACAGTGAACTCTCAATATGATAAGGGGTCACAGCACACAAACGATTACTCAGCACATGCCAGGCACGGAATATGCATCCAGTGAACGACTCTGCTTCCGGGTGTACAGTAGTACACGGGTTCGGCACCCGACACTTCCACAGAAAAACGAAATTCTCACACGACACATCTTCAAGGCCTTTGTAAACCCACGTATTGAGGACATCGGCGGACAACACCCGACTCAATTCAACGTTTAGCCGGGCCCACACCTGCGCGTTCTACCGTAACGCAACAAGGGATTCTGATGTTCACAAGTGGACCTTGACTCACGCGAATTTACAGTCGGATTTCTCGTTCCGTGTGTAATGAAGTACTAGGTTATCATATAACACTGCTACTTGTTATTATTTTAAACAGACATTCGGTGTATATTACTTATATAAGGGTTAGTAAAATACTAAAAATATTCTGGAGCTCTGCATCTAGTAAAGAAACTTTTTTTCAAACCTTGCATTTGAGACAAAATAACTGTTCCTATATTCCACTTTTTTCCACAACGAAAGAACAGACATTGGCCAGTAGTGTTTTATAATTGAATACTTTTTCCTAGAGAACACTACAGATAAAATATATTCAGAATTATGTCATAATTCTCAAGGATTGCATGTGGAAACAAATCAGACTGAAGTTAAAGTTCAGCTTACCATTAATTTTACAGACAAACCATTATTTTTGTTTCACATCCACCATAATTTCACCATCACAGTTTTTAACCTAGTATCTTGGAGAAAATTCAAAAAATAAAGATTACAACATGACCATATCAATGGATTTGATGGCTGATTTCGTTATATTAACATTACTTTACATAAATTACCAATACATTAACACAGAGGCTTATTTTAAACTGATTCAATAAGTTTAACAGATTTCTTCAAAGTCCAATTGTTCCTCTCCGTAATAGCAAAATGAGTAATTTACTTCAATTAGTGGGCACCAGTAATAAAATAAGAAGAAGAACAGCAAAATTACTTACGGCAAGTGACACCGACAAGCACGCCACTCCCAGTCCAACGGTTCTCAGATCTAGGAAATAAAAATCGATCTCATTTCCTATTAAACCGAACAGAAGAGGCTGGAAGATGGACCACAAGACTGCAAAGTTCTCTGCTACAGGATTCTAGAATTCAGAACATAACAATCTCACGTAAGTAATTCACTAAACTGACCTTTTTTCCCCAGTCCTTCCACACTGAGCATGAAACCCAAAACAGGCTTGACATTTGCTTTCAAATTCATAACGACGCTGCCGTTCGGAAGGCGTCTAATTTGTGAACCCAGAGCAACTCTAGCGCCACTTATGTGATCCGAAAATGGTGTATGGTAATAGGTCTTCGGAAAACACAACTTTTGTTCAGATAATTCATTTATAAAATATAAAACAATAAATTTAAGTTAATGCGAAAATGTTCTCTTAGTTTGCAGTTTGGCTTCAATAACTTCTGAACAATTAAAAATAGGAATGTGAAATTTAATGTGCAGATAAATCAAAAACGTTTTTACATTTTGTTCTATGAAGAGCTTGGTGAGCTTTCAGGTTCTAACGGCGACGGGTATGAAGGTGATTGTACTCTGGAATCATGATCCACGACGTTGCAGGCGTGCCGCGAATGTTCAAAAGAAATTGCATATTCGCACTTTATAGTAAACGAAGGAATATCTTATCTTTCGTAATTAGAATTCAGATTCATCATCGACAGTTTTATCCATAATGTGTTATGAGTTGATTCCATGTCCCTTTATTCTTATAGGGTGAGTACACGTAGATACAAATTTATGGGCGTGTGCACCAGTCACAGCCACTACGCGAAAGGCAATCCGACGTTCAGCCGTGAAAAGTGCGTACGGCCACTAGTTTTGTAAGATTTGAGGTTATCACAGCGGTGACTATGAAGATTTCTGTCTTCTGGGTTGTTGCGCTGCGTAGTCTGGTCGATGTTTACCAACGTTACAGAGGTCATACTGCCTCCATCATCAGGGCGATGAGTATGAAGATTTCTGTCTTCTGGGTTGTTGCGCTGTGTAGTCTGGTGGTTGTTTACCAACGTTTCAGAGGTCATACTGCCTCCGTCATCAGGGCGATTCTTAGTATGAAGATTTCTGTCTTCTGGGTTGTTGCGCTGCGTAGTCTGGTCGAAGTTTAAGGACGACTTAGAAATTCTCATCGGCTTGATGATGGAGGCAGTGAGAACCTGTGAAACGTCGGTTTGTGTCTACCAGCCTACACGGCGCAACACCTCAGAGGGCGACCATCGTCATTTTCGGCCACGCTGTATGTTCATTCTTACAAAAATCTAATATTTCAAGACTCACAGACTCGTCGGCCCATCCCTGGGTTCTCCAGCCATGATTCGCCACGAACGCTGCTACAACGCAGCCCAGCGGCCCTGCTCCGTCGTAGCCAACAGCTTCGCTGCCGAAAAGCAGCAGCAGACCTCCTCCACCCAGCAGGAGCGTGCGAAGAATCACCACGAAGCGCTGAGAAATGAAGTGAACACCGAAAACACGCTCATGTGGACCTGCGTTTGAATTAAGCACCAAGTCATAAGGACGAATGCGAGAGTGGAGGAGAAGTTCCACCCATTCTTACGCTTCATCTCACACACAATAGAGAGGCCAGTTTCACACACGTACCATAAGGCAGGGAAGTCTGATAACATACCGCTGAAATAATCATACTTTGCTATTCTCCTACTAGCTTAATTTTATTTTTTATGAATGTACAAGGATTACATTAGCAATCTTACAAACCAAATTTACAACAAGTGTTCAAAGTGACGTCGTCCACAGTCAATGCAGTCATTGCATCGGCGAACGAATCTCTGGCGAAACCCTTTCAAATACCCCAGGAGTCTCGCGGACCACGTCAGATGCTGCAAGTATTCTGGCCAAAAGTTGTTCTGAGTCGTCCACCGGTGTCTCGTAAACGAGGCTCTTTATCAGACTTCCCTACCTTCAATGGCCTCGACTGATTCAGGATAACTTCGGAGGGATATATATATATATATATAAAATAAAGAGCGTAACACAATATGCCATTTTACACCAAATGCAATGCTCTGTATTCAAAATGCATGGAGTCACTTACATCATGTCGTTCCGGAACGTAACGAATCAGCAGTCCCCAAAGAATTCCAAATATGAAACCAGATATTAGTCCCAAGGGACCCTGTATTATTGACGTGACAATGTCACCTGAAATAAGAGAATTTCAAGTTGTTATATACAAATTTCCTCCCCTACACCTTCAACGCAGAGACACAATTTTCCTAGGCTTGTGGTGTGTCTCTGCTACAGTTCACTCAGAAAAGATTTGTAGCTTCAACCTGAAAAAAATAATGTTTATAGTAAAAGTACGAAGACTTGAACATTAATCACAAATTTCTTCATTGTGGCATTTCAGTATCAGATGGGATAAAAGTTATTGAACATAATTTTGAAAATGATAAAATAAGACGAATATTCTTCGTGTTTCTTTTCAGCAAGAGATTTTTCTATTCATCACAAAGCTTAAATAATAAAGAATTCCGTAACATTAATTGATGCGAGGAAATTCATATAATTTTTAATTAACTGCTTATTGACCTACTAAATAATTTTTGTTCTTTATCACGTGGATAGCATGCGGAGTGACCTAAAATGGCCACTTTTTTAACGTGTGACTATTTATTTCTCCCTGTTCGCGAGGAATGTATACCTGTGATGGAATCGAAAAGGTAACACATTGTGAAAAATACATACACGTGCATCCACCATAAACGAATTATGTTTTTTCCCCATTTCTTTCTGCATATCATTCAAATTACACTTGTATTGCTAAAATTACTTATTTCCATTTCCGAAGACACAGGCGTGCCAAAACACAAAAATAAATATGCTAGACGTGTTGCCGGAAGCAGAACGTGGTGCAGCGAGCGTCGGCCAGGGTAATGGGTTATCTATGGGGTTAGAGCGGGTTATCAATGGGGTTAGGGAACTTGGACGCTGGAGCGACGATAATAGCGAAGCAGCGAAATCGGAATTGGTTTCGCATTGAATCATTTATTTCAATGATGCGATAAGTTGTGCATTCTTTGGTTAACCAAAGGTAAAAGCAATGAGAAGCGATCGTTTCATTTCCTTTGCTCTTAACTCTGGTGAGGTTACATACATTTTTAGTCTTTTCGTGTCAAAACATAGACATGATGCGAAACTTGCGATGACGAAACAGCAAGGGATGACTATAATTGCAAATGGGGAATCTCTTCGACAAATCATACATCGTAATGAAGTAAACATTTTGTATGGTATTGATTCTAACGTTCAAATAAACACTTTTGTAAACAGAAATTGACCAAACTGAATGACAGGTCGAAGGATTTCAAACAATTCTTGGTTCAAATTCGAATAAGGGAAAATAATTAAATCTCAACTTCTTTTCTGCTGAAATAACCGAAGTTTTCACCTGTGGAAAATATGATGCTGAGCACAACACTGAAGGCAGAGATGGCTATGACATCATCGAAAGTTGCAGCAGCGATCACCAGGGTCGGTATTCCCTTCGACTTGCCGTAACCTCTGTCCTGCAGGCTGAAGAGACAGGGGATCACCACTGCTGGAGACACGGCTGCCATCACTGCCCTGGGAGAGGACAAACACTGAACTGAATGAGTAGCAGAAAGACGTAATCGACTGAATTCTTACCTGTGTCATAGATATTTTAAGCCATCCGTACTGACAAAATTCCATAAATTTGATATGGATTTAGCATTGGACATAAAAAGAGCCCAAAGACGGTGTAATAGTGACGAAACATGCTGCTGTTTTACTGATATCTCTGATTTAATATTCTTGTAACTGTTGACGGAAGACAAATAACAAAGATAGGCTGTCTTCTGGGTCTTCTAGCGACACAACCCAGAAGACAGTCATTTTCGTACTCACTGCCGCGAGAACCTAAAATGCTACTTAGGAAAATAAATATGCCACTCTATTATAGATCCCTTTGACAGTTTGATATTAATGCGCTAAAAATTTTAAAGTTACAAGAACGTAGATTGACTTCAAAGTGGAAATGAGTTTCTGAACCGTGGACTGGATCAAAGAAGTCGTGTTGCGTGGAAGAGATAAGATTATTTTTCCGGAGACATCACACAGTTTTTTAAGACAGACGGATACAATATTCTTCAGTCTATGCTCACCCGAGCAGACAACCCCAGATCCAAGGCAAGTCGAGCAAGAAGTGAGACATTACAGCGACTGAAGATGCTTCCACGAGAGAGGGGATCACCGCCAGTCTGATCACCATGCCACTCAGTCTCTTCAGGGCGTTAGGGTCCAGTCCAAGTCCCGCCCTAATTAGGATGATCACCAGGGCGACCTTTCTATACATAAATCATGAACATACATTTGAAGCAAAGAGTGTACACAAAAAGACGTCAAGAATACCAACTAATCTGTAAATTAAAAGTTGATCAAGGCAGAGAGATTCCGGCGACTGCCTACCTGAGCTGTCGAAAACATTGTGACGTGCAAGAAACTACCCGCTATGGACAACGCGGTGAGTTGCCGGCAACTAACACGCTGCCTATACAGGGCGCTCCGTGTGGCAAATGAACTAACCTGAGATCGGCTGCAAGGGCCAAGTATCGGCCTGAAATCACCACGGATCGCGTGTTCCTGAGCACAGTTCCCATTAGCAGCATGCCGAGAAGTGGAGGCAAACCAATGGTGTGCACGACGGAGCCGGCTAGGTACGCCGCAACGCCGAGCACTCCGATCCTGAATAGCTGTCCGCTCGGACCCGCCGCGTTTCCGACCATGATGAATGTGTTTCCCCATAGCAGCAGTGCCAGGCACGACAGGACAAAGTAGCGAGACACGTAGAGACTGGTCGGGTGAGTTCTGAAGTTCTGCAAGGTGTCCCTCAGATAGCGAAATCTGCAATGCAAATCGTCGTGTCAGTTCGGTTTTCTACATCGACGAGAGTCAACTTTGACAGGCATCTGTCTCACTGGGTTGATGGAAAATTTAAAAGGAATGGAAAAGAGATGAAATGCATGGCACCAAATATTAATATGGTTCCAAAGATTGAAAATATTTTTGGACAGCTCAGTGTGTCATTAATGTTTCAATACAGAGGCGCAAAACTTTAGGGTGATCCGTAAAAAAATTTAAAAGTGCTTAAACTAAGTTTGTAAGCAAATTTTCTGGCTGCCCCGCTTAAAAAATTCTGGCGACACTGTCAATTTGTTGTTTTACATCCCAAATAATAACAACAAAAATTGTGTATTTCGAGAAGATTTACACATTTCATAACACTGTACAGCAGAGTCCCCGAACATTATAACTTCGGTTATCTGACATTCTGTTTTGTTCGACGTGCCGTGTCGGAACGTTCCATTTTATTGAGCCAACTCAGCACGTAGTGTAATGAATCACAATTCTCCTCTACGCGCCTTTTACATTTTACGTACTCAGTTGCTACAGACGTGCTACTTGTGCCGACGCTGGCGTGACATTGCCTCAAAGGGAAGGAAGGATGTTCAGAAGCAAATATCCATTACTAATTACTTTAGAAAATAAACTCTTTCATTTAGAAATTTACATTATGTTAAATACTCTCTCTGAGTGTGAGATTTTTTCATGTTTTCGTAATTTAATAATATCGTAAATCGAGTTGATATCGACCCTCGTATTTTTAATGTCTTCCGTATCATCCCACTTTTTCGGTCCCGTTTAAGTCGGAAAATCGAGACTCTGCCATATTAAGAGACTTTTGGATGTATCAGGAGATATCTGGCCAACTCATCATTGGCCCCTAATACAGTAACAATGACAGGAAGTTAAGAGAAAGGAGCCCAGATCCAAGCTGAGCGCGAAGGCGTCAGATCGCGGGAAACTAACTGATCGGCCACCTCGAGACAACCTAATGACGATCCAAATGCTGAAAGCTTGTACCGCGCGGGTTATTTTCTAATGATTACGAAGTTCGACGCTGGACATGATGTATCACGTGCAGCAAGTCGGCACATGAGAATTGTCTTGCCTGATTGATTAATAAATATTTAATTTCTTCTACCTCTCCAAATTTGGAACCTATCGTTGTCTAATTAGGGGCGCAAAGTTTTACAGATTTTATTATAATTAACAAGCATTATTGCCAATGACGCTAATTCACCAATTGCCATGCAACAAAACAAAGTAACTTTTCGCGTTATTTCATTAATATATACTGTTATTATTTTTTTCAGTAAGCTTTTTCAAAAAAACCATTCGCAGATTAGACGGCCTTCCTCCCTTTCTGAAGCTGCTGTCGAGATGAAACACAGTCACGAGGAAGTACATATTTCGCAATATTACACAACTACTGAAAAGCGACGTGATCATAGTAAGGGATTAAGTTAGTGTTTCTGAGAAACCTCATGATCAACTCAGCACGTGATTTGTCATGTGCATAAGCCTAATATCCTACAGCACAAAAGATAACGTTTATTGTTTTGGGTATTAGGATAAAATACTTACTCCACGGAGCCGAGTCCTTCCTCAGAAGCCACCAGTCGTCTGTGTCACTCAAGAATTTCCCAACATTTTATGGAACCAGAAGCTTCATTACCGTGTTCAGAGGAGCCTACCACTGGTTCCTATCCTGTGCCAGATGAATCCACTCCATACCAGTGCATCTTATTTCTATAAGACCCATTTTAATATTATTCTCCCACCTACGTCTACGTCTGCCTAGTGGAGTCTTTCCTTCTGGTTTCCCCACCAAAACTCTGTATGCATTCCTCTTCTCTCCCATGCAGGCTACATGCCCAGCCCATCTCACCCACCTCGACTTGATCTGTCTAATTATATTTGGTGATGAGTACAACTTATGAAGGTCCTCATTATGTCATTTTCTTCAGATTCCTAGTAATTTATCCCTCCTGGCTCCAAATATTCTCCTCAGCACTCTGTTCTCAAACACCCTCAGTCTACGTTCCTCTCTTAGTGTCAGAGACCACGTTTCACGCGCATACAAAACTACAGACAAAATTATAGTTTGTTTATTTTAAGCTTTTCGTTTTTAGACAGCAGACGAAAAGACAAGGTTCTGACCTGAATGGTAGCAAGCATTACTCGAATTTAATCTGCACTTAATTTATTATGAATCAAATTTTGATTTCTTATTGTGCTCCCAAATATCTAAACTTTGTCACATTTTCATAGGATCCATTAGCTATCTTTATAATACAAGTTTGCCCTGCATTCTGGTGATGAGACATCAACATATACTTGTTTTTGCCATGTTTAGTTCTAGACCAATCTCCTTACTAGTGTCAACTAGAGCATGTGTTTTTCTTTGTGGTATTTATGTTATCCCCAGTAGATTTACATTATCAGCATAGACCAAAAGGTGATGTGTCCCATTCAATTTCAGTAACACTTGGTTTTCATGGACCTTCCGAATGGCGTATTCTAAAGAAAAGTTGAAAAACAGTCACAATAAAGCATCTCCTTGTTTTAGACCACTTTGAATAGGAAGTGCTTGCCTGTACGGCCTTTACTACAGTTTTCATCCACACAAGCCAAACTAGTTTTTAGATAAAATAACAAATAATTAAGGAGAATGGGAGAAATAAAAAATGTATAATAAATTTATAAAATCTCTGTCTTCTGGGTCGTTTCGCCGTGTAGTCTGGTTGAAGTTTACTGACATTTCAGAGGCGCTCAGTAACTCAGAAGACAGCTATCTTTATACTGGCCGCCGTGAAACCTTAAATCTAATTTATACTAAGTTTTGGTCTACAAAAATCTTACAGGAAGAGCCCATTTTAAAGATCTGGGCATAGACAGAAGGATAACATTTACATTTCTCTTGAGAAATTGGGTTAATGGGCGTGGATAGGATTTATCTGGATCAGGATAGGGGCCATGTACATTTTGTTTCTATGAAGGCTTTTTTTTAGTAGGGTAGCGACAATTAACTTCCTGAGGAGTTGTAGTTGAGTGTCAGAAGCCATTGTTCGTAATAATAAAATGAGTATATTACTAAATAGTATATTATATTATTATAATGTTTTGCCCTTAGTGGGTAGTACACCTGCTTGGTAGTCTACACTACGTCTTGGCGTAAATAACTGTCATTCCAGGAAGACATTACTATTTAAATTTTGTTCTTTAAAGTCGCTTACGCCCGACGTCACTTCCGAGTGGTCAGCACTCCTGCTTCGTATTCGGGAATTCTCAGGTTCAAATCTCGGCCGAGAGACCGGTTATATGACTGAAAGCTTTGTGGTTTATCTCAGTCATTCAGGCTAATGCCGGAATAATAGGGGAGGATTGGTAATTTCACAAACATTTTTCCGTTATGGAAGGGTATTTATTCAATATTTCCAATTTTGCAGGAATGTTTTAATAATGATCGAGAGTAAATGTAACGCATGTGACGAAAACTAAGAACGAAAAGCAGAATGAGAAAATACAAAACACGCTTTTGGCCTAACTGTTGTTTAATGGCCAAAATATTCGCAACAAAACTTGCAGTTGACACTGTTCACGTCATACTCGAAAGGTCAAACTTATGACGCGCACTTTGCGAACAATTGCCCCTCGCGACGCCAGTTTCGTCATTCAGTCTCAGCATGCGTATAATAAAAACTTAACAAATCAAGGTTAACTTATTAGCCAAAGCAACTCACACCAGTTTCATTGGATTGAATTCTCATCTTTTTAATTTTGATATCTAAAACAAATAATCGGCAAAGGTGGACGATTTCGAGGAAGTCCAATCGACAACTGGTACCAACTTCCGGAAGCCTTCGCTACAATGCAATGAGATGCAGAACTATTAGGGACTTTTTGCGGTTTCAAAATTGACGTGAGTATAAAAACCGATCGTGTACCGTAACCCCTCTCCCCTGCCTTACATTAGACCACAAATATTTGTTCTATATCATTCCCAGTTCATTATTCATCATTCGGCGTTATGTAGTCTGAGCTACTGACAGCGTAGTTAAATCAATAACAAATAACATATTCAACTTAAAATCTTCATCCGAGCTACTTAAGTTACGAGGTCGAAGACTAGTTCCTCTACTTCTTCCCGAAATATATAAAAGGTCACTTACCTGTTGCGCAAATTTGTGGAAAAACTGTTATCTGTTTCTGATGGTCTCCTGTTGGCGCAGTTTCCTTCTGCTTCTGGTCCATGTGTGACTGCAGGAAATAAACTCCGAGTTCCCAAACTGTCATATCTCGCAGAAGTGTTTCTTGATGGCAATATAGGTTCGAGTTCACTGTTTGTAGCAGCCATCACAGTGCCTCGTAGAGCAATGACACTGCTCTGCATCCTTATCTTTAATAAGGAAGACTTTGGTTGGATTGGATTCTGTAAACACAGCAGCATACTCAGATGATAGTAATCAGGGATGTGTTTTAATACAGCATCTTAACTATGTGTTTATACAATACAAACACTCTGAGCACAAATAGAGAGACTGGTAAGATGTAATCAAGTTTAGTTATGAGGGGGCGTCCGTCTATAAAAAATACCAAAGAAACAAGCAATAAAAATAAAATTATATTACCACATACGCGATGACATACATACATCTTTATTACATTCCATGGATCCAAAAGTTAGTCAGATGACAATAGGATGTATAATAAGGCATAATAATACAAATACAAGTCATACTATTATATAAATGTCACAAATACAAAGTGTTCACATAAAGTAGAGATAATTTACAAATAAACCCACCCATTATATACAATAGATAAATTATGACTTACTTGTAAACATTAGAAATTCATCGACAGAGTAAAAGGAGTGTGTAATTAAGTATCTTTTCAATGCTAGTTTAAATTGTGCCTTTTTATTTACAAGACTTGTGAGATTTGATGGTAGACTGTTGAAAATTTTAATCCCTGCATAATATGCACTCTTCTGAAAACATGAGAGGTTGGCAAATGGTCTATGAAGCTGACAGATCCTTCTTTGTATTACAGGCGGGTGTAACCGAAGAATTGTTCAGCATGTTTAACAAAGTTTCGAGAAAACTTACCACTTATTAAGAAATAACATAGCGACTGCAGAATCAGAACGTAATGTTATGTTATGTTTGTCATTCGACGTAAGCTTTCAACTTACGAAACCGTATGATGATCAAAATAAAAATTTGTGAAAGACTCAAAAGTAACATTGCATTTAAAACTGTATTTAGGCTCTTATGTATTGTGAACTAAAGTTCACCCAAATGAAACGAGCACTCGATATTATTCTTACAACAGAATACATGGGATTACACCTCACCTCCTCTGGTGATGAAAAACTAAGCAAGGCAAATGCAATGAAACTTGTAGTATGTGGGAACTAAGAACTTTGATTATGTGGTAGACGTGTAGAAGAATTGGAGATCATTTGCTTTACAGCACATTTAGGGCTAGCGCGCACGAGCGGTTTTTCTGCCGCAGCGGTAACACTACCGCAATCGAATATTCTTGTCGCCTGTGCACACGGACATGTGCATTTATTTTCAGTTGGGAGCTGGGTTTTGAGGAAACAGTTCGCGTGTGCTCTAGCCTGATAAGTCGAAGAATCCATATTGCATGTTCATGTATGTCATGTACTGATATTAACTGGCTTTTAATACTTAGTTGTGCAATGTAAAAAGAAGCATTTATCAATTCTAAAATAAACTACCCATACTAATGAATCCCAAATGGAAGAAGCGTGTACTTTGATGGAGTGCTTGAAGTCATGCAATTCAGTAACACTTCTGTGATGTTTTGTTTACAAAGGGCACAACATCTGTAGCCAATACAGTGGCATGAAAATAAATGATCTCTAACAGAATGGTAAAAATAAAGCCATGATTTAACACTGATAAACCTTTACCAGGACACTGCACTTAAAGAATGAAAATTTGGGATATCTTGACACCCTATCTTACAAAGAACCCTCAACTTCAAGGAATTCCATCAGTACATAACTCAGTTTTGTGTTACACAAAATACCCCAATACCACATGCGACAACCGAGTCCCATGACGACATTATGGCAGTTTCATTGAAAGTGCTGTCGAAGCAGTCTGTTAAATTCAAATCACTGGTATATCTGAAACAAACATTCCAGACACAGGAACAGTATCCATCACAATGAGAATTTTAAAGAACATTAATGAATATTTCAGACACAGTACAATTCATGGATTACATTACATAGCAGAAGAAAATCGCCACTGGACTGAAAGGTATACAAATTCAGAGTTTAAATGTGAGATTAAAACTGGAATAGCTCATTTCTGTGTGTGTACTAATTTATTAAATTGTAAATTTGCACGGTTTAGTTTTTTATACTTGTAATACAAACAGAAACTACGACTTGAAAAAGGAAATTCACAAATGTACCTCTATTACATTGGTGTTTCACTAACAATATTTTTTGATTCTGGAAATATACCAGGGGAAATACAAATCTATGATCTCCTTATTTCAGACTGTTCTTGATGAAAAATGACTCAAATAAATATTTACCTGCACGAATTTTGCTACAGATTTCATTTAAGCACATTTTTATTAGACTCACTAGCTTCTTTGGTATTCCAGATTCGATGTGACTATTGTATAACACCTCTCATAACAGGGTCATAGGCTTTTTTTTAAATCCATAAACAATATATGTACGGTCCCACTGTACTTCCATTTTTTGTCTAGTATCTGACGGATGCAAAAGATCTGATCAATTGTTGATCTGTTACGTCTGAATCTACACTGATGATCCCCATACTTTCATTCACATATGACGTTAATCTCACCAGAATGTTGGATAGAATTTTATATGAGGTTGATACTCTCTTCAACTTCCCAATGGCTAGTTCAACTTCATTTAAATTAGGTTCTGGCACTAACAGTTCAGCTGTATGTATTTTAATCTGTCTAATATCACCAGTCTCATGAACATTTAATAGCTGGTTGAAAAAATACTTCCACCTATTCAAAATTTTTATTGCAGCTGCAAGTAAATTGCCATTATCATCCTTTACCAAATTAGCCTGAGGTTTGATATCCTTTCTTAGAATAATTTAAGCCTCTGTACAGATCTCTGATATTTTGGTCCTTACTATTTGTCTCAAGCTCAATAATTTTGCCTTTCAGATATTTCCTTTTCTTATTCCTAAAGGTTCTACTAGCTTCATGTCTCGCGTTACAAAGATTATTTGTACTCATTTTGTTTGGGTCCTGCAACCATTGAAGTCTTGTTTGCTTCCTTTGATCTATTAATTTTGAAAATTCTTCATCAAACAATGGTTTATTTTGCTTTCTCCTGTAGTATCCTAGTTTCTCTTTTGCTGAAATTTTGATACAGTTTCTGACATTTTCCCACTCCCTGTTGATATCCACACTTTCACCATCTTTATCTGTGAAACCTGCAGTTACAAAACAAAGTACTACATCAATAACACAATTATTATTTTTAAAGAATTAAAGAGAAACACTAATTGAATTTGAGCCACAATAGTTTATCCGAAAAGTGACTGGTCCATATGGGAGAGGCAGATGCAGGGCTTTTTCTTCTTCATCACCACATCCAAACCAGATCTAGGATCCCCTAATCTAGTAACCAATGGAAACTAGAGGTTCTTTACTATGAGATAAGAAAGCTGGAGCATGAAATTCACCATTCACGTCCATCTGTTCCAAAAACGCATGAAGTTTGAACTTCACTTTCACATGATGACCAGTCTAGCTATGGAACCCCCAACTTCATATTCAGTGGAAACTGGGGAGCTCTTTCCTTAGCATAAAGTAGTTGCAACAAGAAGCTGACCATTCAAATCCATCACAGAAATTATGAAGATGTTGAGTTTTAGCTCTGCTGTCACCAAACACTTTTATGGCACAGTTCTTAGGAACAGGGACAATTTTACCTTTGCTTATTACAAATAATACTAAAGGTTAATATGATTTATAGAACTCAAAAAAAGTGAAAAGCAAAATCGATGTTGGTATAAAGAATTTTGCTTTATTTTCTCCATAGATAGCTTTATTTCAGTAGTCTTCTTGTGACTTTTCAATGTGCACATACTCATTACTTGATTTCCTTGTGATAGGGTATTCTGGACTGTGGCTGTGTCCCTGTCCTTGTGGGGTACAATGATCATAACTGTATCATCATACAAAGACTTCAGAGAACATTCCATAAGTTTTGCAGTGGAAACAACCTACCTTCGCTGGAACACAACATTTCCAGCATTCACAGTATGTGAAGAAGATGACCCTGAATATGTGTGGGAAGAATTTAAGTAAGTAAAAGACTTCTTATTGGGTAAACAGACCAATGTTGAGGACAGACCAATTCAACAATGACATGTCTAATCACCAGAGAAAATTATAGAGCATTTACTCACTGCAAAAGTTTTAAATCATAAAAAAAACATTGTTGCTGCTGGGTTAAAGGCATCTTTTTCTAGTTTGAGTTTAAAAAAATATTTAAATTTAGTTTGCCTCATCATGGTAAAATTCATCCTACATCCCAATAAGATGACACAATAAAATGCAATAATAAAAACTATGACAAGCCAGTCTTCATGAAAACTTGACAGTGGTATTAAGGATAACAATAAAAAGTTATGGACAAAAAATGGTAACCTAAATATAAAAATCTGCCTGGCCATAAAAGATTTTCAAGAATCTATAGATGTGTCAAATTAAGTTCTCCTGCATGTTAAATATGGAATATACCAAAAGTATCAAGCATTGTTTTCATATTTCATTCCTTATGTATAATAGGTCAGAGCTAGGCAAGTAAAATTTGGCATGGAGACACTGATGACATACAATGTCTGTATAAAGTACTATTTACAGGTCAATAATTACAAACACAGCAAGGCTGTATAATTTAGAGATTTCCAACTGACAAATTTAACATAGAATCTACACCAGCAAATAGTACGCACAGAAATGTGTCAATAAATTGTAAAAATTTTATATTTACTGATAGCATCATAATATTAAGTGAAACACTTCAAAGCAGGCATCACAGAACACCTAGATTAAGTCAAAATTATTAACAGATAACAATTGCTGTAACTGCCAATTTCTTGGATATGAAATCAAACACCCTGCCTACTTCCTACATGAAATCACTTCTACCCCAGATTCTGTAACTTACATACTGAAAATGTAATAGGGTCCTCCAAAATCTTCATAACCTTTATGCATGCTGCAATGTTATAATCAGAAACCTTTTCATTTCTCTACATCTATCAGTGGATGGTAATGGTCATTACACTATTTTTTTAAGGTGGCCACAAAGATTTGAGCATGTACAGAACTTTACTCATTCCATTCTCACAAATTTTCCTCTCGGGATATCTGACAGCCAATATACTAACAGCTGCATACAAGATAAATCAAGTGTTGTGTGTTTAAGATGGTAATATTAGCAATCATACAAGCAAAAACGCTGGTATTACATACCACCTATTCAAAATAAATCAAAAGGCAAAATTATGCAGTCATAGGAGGAAAATCCATACAAAGTTATGGGCAGAAAACCTGAAGCAAAAGACTTATACATAGATAGGAGGATAGCATTAAAAATAAGCTTAGAGAATGCTGGTGGGAGAGTGCAGACTGGATTCATGTGACTTAGGTAGGGACCTGTGGCAGGTACTTGTGAATTTGGGAATGAACTTTTGGGTTCCATAAGAAGCAGGAAATTTCTTGAATACCTCAATGAGTATTAAATTTTTAAGATGAAATCTACTCCACAGAGTTAGTTAAGACAGAGTGAGTGGCTAGTCAAAAGTCAGCAGTAAATATCCTATTTGATATGAAGCCTGTCAAAAGCCAAGTTTAAATATCCTGTGTGATATCATAATACAACAGTGAATCTCATAGTAATCAACATATTTATAAATATTGCCGTCTTCTGGGTTGATGCGCCGTGTAGTCTGGTAGATGTCAGCCAACGTTTCAGAGGTCATGCTGCCTCCGTCACCAGGGTGATGATGACATAGGCAGCATGACCTCTGAAACGTTGGCTGACATCTACCAGACTACACGGCGCATCAACCCAGAAGACAGCAATCTTCAGACTCACCACTGTGAAAACCTCAAATCTTACAACATACATATGCTCCTCAGAAACCAATAATGAAACTCAGTGACTTCATCTCCCCTCTACATCTCTATGCCTAACTCTCCACTTGTATCTGCCAGAGAAAACCAAAAGGTAATTTTGTGTTATATGTTCTTAGGAAGAATCACCCAAATGCAACTGACAAGATAGGAAGAATTCTGGAAGAGATAGTGTACTACAAAGGCATATGCAATTCATGTGAAGAATGTAACCAAGAGCTGGACTGTTCAGTAGTATTTGATAAGAAGAACTTTGAGGTTTGTTAAAATATTCACAAAAAATAAATGTGTGGATTACTAAGTAATATCAGGGCTGTTGCTGTGTTAAATCCACATTTACATGCCAGTCTTTTGTAACATTCAAAAACAGATCATTGGACAGCCAAAAATGAAAGTTGGATCATACCAAACAGGATAAATCACTAAAGGCAAGTCAAGATTAGAAAACCAATTACAAATTTATGGGTACAGATACAGGCTGATAGACAAAAACGTATGACATGATTATGAACAATATATTGAGGTATATTTGATACACACTACATTACTCCCATCTTCAGGTGATTGTTTCTCATTTCATTGACACATGTTTAGTGATACTTCACTATTTTAAGACACTGGCAACAGTTCAGTATCAAGCCACAACTCTTGGATACTAGGCTAGCAGGCTCACCACCAGAAGTCTCAATGATTTTTGAAGTTGGTTCTACTCCCATCTCAGATGATAGGCTGTCAATATACTGACTGATTCTCATTTACTATCTTATTCTAATAAGAGTGGTGACAGTTGTGAATAAACCTGGAACCTTCTGAATACTTGCCTAATAATTTAACAGATCGCAGGTCACTACTACTAATCTGAAAACATAATGAATAAATAAATTAAAATGTTAGTATAATGACAATCACCCAAAGACAGGAATGAAGCCAACACACACACCACAAACACCTGAGGTAATAAACAATGACTAATATAGTGCTGATGAAATGTAACAGCTACTCTCCATAATCTGAAGAGGAAAATTATAAAAACTGTAAGGGTTAAAACCCTTACATTACTAAATAGATGAAAGGAAAAAGTGTTTTTCCTGACAAAAGCTGATTACAAAAGGAACACGATGAAGAGATCGAATTTTGTGTCATTAGTATAGCTGACCTACCCACACATTCTTTCATTTGTATGCCTATTTTTATCAGCTTATCTAGCTATCTATCCAACCACCCACCTACCAATCAACCCTTGTAGTCTATATTCATATCTATATATCCATACTGATCTGCTTATCTACGTTTATCGATAGCCATATTTGCTTCACAGTCATTCAAATACATGATGCAGTCATTCATTAATAGTTAATAATCAGCTGAAATCTCCAATATTTATAGGAACTGGATGTTCACTACTGTTATCACAAAAGCCCACCACTGGACCCTAAACTTTAGGTACTCCAATCCAGCTGCAATTATATTATCCCTCCAAGTAAGTTCTCTCTTCTGTTGAGTATCTCCAACCAAAATATTGTACCTATTTATCATTCTTTCTTATAGTTTGTTCACTGCAAGATCAATCTTGACATAAACACTTCAGAATTGCTCTCACAGGTCAGTTACCAAAACTATATGTGAAGTTACAAAAATAGTACCTGCAATCATGATACATATCTTTGAGTATTTTGAAATTGTTCAAGAAAGATGCCTTTTCATTAACAAACAATCCCAAGATACATTTACTGCCACAGAATATAAAAAAAGGCTTAACAATTACATTAAACTTATACAAGTAATAAGCAATGTCTTACTAATAGTGTGATCTGCAAACAAGTAATCACTATCTAATATTTCAATGTCCAGCATGTCTGGCCTTGTTAACAAAGCACTCTCAGAAGTAATGACAAAGAGAACATGATGTTATATAACATGGTGTCAAGATGATGGAAGAATGTCAAAGGTGGATACTAACATGGTTGACAGAATAATTATTAGCACTGGTAAGGAAATTTTTAGCACTAAACCTGATTCTGTCTTCGGAGGCAACCACCCCCTGCTGTGAGTGACTGAATTTTTTGTGTTTCTGTAGTTGTAGTTCTGTATGTGATAAGTGAAAATAGATTTATGCCTTGGTAGTGACGTGTTTACTCTGAATCTGACCATAATATTTTTGGTGGGAGAAAACTATTGCATGCTAGGGAAATAATCAATGAAACATTGTGTGGAAGGATACAAAATATGCATTTATTTATGTCTGGATTAAATTAACAAATAGCAGACTAAGTGAGATTTGAGAGTGTCATGGCAGTGAGTATGAAGATGGCTGTCTTCTGGGTAGTTGCACTGTATAGTCTGGTAGAAATTTACTGATGACTACTGCCTCCATTGTCAGGGTGATGATGTAAACAATTTTTTACCAGAATACACAGTGCAACAAGCTAGAACACAACCTTCTTCAGTGAACAGGCTGCAGCAGCAAATATTTTACTCTGCTTCTTGTCCTCAAACTAACTTCATGCAGAAGAGTCCTTGAGAAGCTGGTATTACAGAATCAACATGGGTAGTGGGAGTTACAGTCAGCTGCCTGTTCCCCCACCTTACCTAACCTGCACACCTGCCATTCAAGCTCATCCCAAACTTAGGAGGGAGCAGCAGTTTATTTAATTATTATTTACTGTTCTAATCATTGTTGTCATTGAAACATATAATTATAAGAAATTAAAATAAATCATGCTAAAAGTAACGAACTCTTACAGGTATTTGCATTGTGCAAGGAAATATTTACATTTTGTGAATGGAATGGTCAAACATTTGACTGTTGTGCTAATTTCTTGCCCCTAATAACAGATACAGGCACGTGCTTTACTATTAACTCCATTCATACAAGGTAAGCTGTTATTTACAATGTCATTACCATTTGGTGATACGTAGTGGAATTACCAAATGTCACACTATTGAAGTTCATACATCTGCTTCATATTTTAAGAGGACTGCAAGTGTACTTATTATTATAATGAATACTGTAGTGTCAGTGGTTTTTTCCTCCACTCTTGATGTTTTTCCCTCCTTAATACAAATGGAAATTTAGCCTTAAGCATACCACCTGAAATGTACACATTTTAGGTTTCTGTGTGCTGTAATAATACTTTCACAGCATCGAACTCTGGCTATTCTCAGACATGTCTGAAGAAGTCATACTTTGCCATGGAAACCCATTCAATATAATATAATGAGAGACTCCACTAAAATGAGGTGTGTAAATAAACCACTATAACTACTAGGTAGTTAAATAACAATGAAGAAATTCCATAAATACTGTACTTCATTAAAAATCAATATATAACACAAACCATAGAGTTTACAAATATTGAGGCTATGCTGTGGTCAGCAATCAGCTCATAATTACAAAATATTATGTAAGACTTGAAGATTTCTGTCTTCTGGGTTATTGCGCTGTGTAGTCTGGTCGATGTCAGCCAACATTTCAGAGGTCATGCTGCCTATGTCATCATATATTAAATTAAATTACATTAAATTTGTTCTAGTACCACTTGAAAAGTTTCAGTAGAAAAAGCATTCTGATGAAGCTTATCTTGGAAAAGGCTAACCTCCAATTCCTGTAAATATAGTACAGATTTGACAGTTTCAGAAATTACTATTTTTATCAAGCCTCATACACCTAATGTAATTTTTGGTAGTCAACACATAGTCAATCAATGTATCAGTATAAAAATATCTCCTGATAGATGAAAAAGAGGCCACAACTTGAATTTTCAAGGATAATCAGTCAAGTCAATAATGATAGGTCTGATTTTCATATCAGCATTCATTATCTAATTTTCAACTGCACTGATTTTTCCTTTTTAAGCAGCACAATTTAATTTACAGTATTCACATCTCATTTATGACATGGCTAACACTGTCAAATATAGTAAAATTAAATGTTTTCAGCCAAGCCTGAAATTACTGCAGTGTAATGTATACATCACACTACAATTTTATCAACAGGATGCAGTGAATTCAAATGACATTACATAAGATTAAATTTAAAAGTAACTAACATAAGACATGCTGAGTAATTTCTCTTATGTATTATTGTAGACAAGACCCCAACAGAATAAAAATGATCTCCAACAGAGAAACAGGGCCTGGAACTCTTACCATTGGAGTAGTAAGGAATGTACTGGTAAGTAAAACCATTCACTGTACTTATTCCCTTAACATCATAAGTGGGTTCTCACTGAGCTAGCCTTAAACTACAACTTCAGCAGGCATCTATACATTCATTTTGCAGACAGCGATACAGAAGACAGTAAAACAGCAATGAATTATTGATGACTACATAATGACATGTTGTACATACTTATATTTGTTATCATGCTTTAAAATACATGTATGATTTTAGAAACATTAACCAAATTTTCAATGTGGAGGGCTATAATTTTTCTTTATTGCTACCTCTGAGCATTACTTAGCATATTATATACAGTCATACCAGACTATGAAGGATATCATATGTACATTGTCTGAAGTATATAAAAGTCTTTCAATTGTTAGCTGTGTTCCTGTTCTCAAGGAAGATTGGTTTTTTCTCTTAACATACATTTTATATTCCTTTTAATACCAAAATTCGAGGCAGTGGTAGGATCTGAACTTGGAATGCTTTGCATACTAATCATACATACAAACTATTAACTATCAGGATAGCCCGAGTCAAGTATACTTACCTGTGGTGCAGTGAACTGACTACTGTCACAGACCTATAGAGAATCAATCTTAAGAGTTGCCATGAAGAACTGGATTTCTGAAAGCAAATGTGGATCAGGTTACTCCATATGGTAACATGTTTTTCCTGATAATGCAGACTTTCAGTTGTTCACTTTGGTCACATCAATTACAAAGGGTTTAAAAAATTAACCAACTATACAAGGGTCTCAGTCATTACGATGCAACTATCATCTGAGCAGCTTCATCAGAGAAATTAATAGGGATACTATTGCTATCCGCAGTTTAATATTTCTCTTAGTTCTTCACTGCATAAAGTAACAAGCACTATATTGTAAAGACTATTGACGGGTTTAAATAATAAACTGTATTCAAGACAATAAAAATATACAGCAAATACAATTTTAGAGACAACATTTAATGTGTTAAATTCTAACTTAATATGTTATGTTGTCTGTCCAGAATTTCTCCAGTTTGAAAAGTTACTGCTATGGATGTGAATGCATTCTGCTGTTTACAGGTATGCATGCATTCCTCTTCAGATGTGTGCACATCCAGTCATGAAAGACAGAAAAAATGGAATGTTGAGTTTGGTGAATCATGGACTGTACTGTTTAATGTAAGTTCATTTTTACACTTCTTCCTTCTTTACATTATATTTATTCTGCCACACTTTTGGTGGTTATTCACATTATTTTACTTGGCTTCCAGATGTTTAATGTAGCTGCGAAAATGTTAAATTAGAAGCAAATAGCTAAGAAGCAGTATTACTATAGCCCTGAGGTTGGGAATGGGGCTAATAATCCTTCACTGTAAAATAATACTTTATTTTTAATTATGTCATATTATTTGGTACAGTTCAAGCCATGTGTGAACTGATATGTCCGATGGTAGAAAATCTCAAGGGAAGAGACCACTTGGGAGACCAAACACTGACAGTGGAATAATACTAAAATTGGCCTTAGACCAACAGAGTTCAATTCATCTGGCTCATAAAAGGTTTGAATGACAGGTTCCTGTTGAAAATCATAATGAACGCCAAGTTCCAAGTAAGCAATAATTTTGTTGACCTGGTAAATGCCAACTTTTCACCATTAAATTAGGTGGAAGAAGGCGAAGATTTATATACGAGTTAGAGGTAGTTGATATATTGACATGGTGTTAGTGGTTACCAATGCTTTCGAGGAACCGCTGACCTAAATCTTGAGTCTATGATATTTTGCCTTGAAGGTGGAAGTGATAAATTACCCTGATATGTCTGCAATCATCTTTTGACTGGCTGTTTTTCTAAAGAGTTCCAATAAAATAGCAGAAAATTAAACAAAAATAGTATAACAAGTTCATCATTTTAAAGACAGATTCATTCTAGGTTACAGCAATAGAAGGGAGGTGGTCAGCTTCACACTACAGCTACTTTACATTTGAGATAAAAGTCACCATTGCTTATTGGAAAGTTGGACGCAGATTTGGTCTGATGACTAAAGACCCAGAAAACCAGATGTTTGGGAAATAACTTAAGATGCCTACTTTACTATAAATTCATCAGTCTTTACAGTGAAATTATCAGCAACTATAAATAAGTGATTCAGTTCTGTGTATAATATTCATCAATAGAGATTCAAACTTGTCAGATATAACCTCAAAGTATCATATCTTTGCCATATTATAATTTAAAGTCTGAAAAACGTTCCAAGCATATGCTTAGCTCCATTAGTTTATCAGTTATTACTATGAAATGGAGAACTAAATACAGATTTTGTGGGGCTGCCATGTAGTTTTATATTATTAAAAACATTACCTTAACAGAAAATGCACATTGTATTTTACAATCCATTACAACACAAAATTTCAGGATCCAAAATTAGGAAGAGCTAGTGCCACTCTACCTTACAAGTTGGTATTTTTAAAATCTGGTAAGACAGTATTTCAGTAGGTAATTAAAAGTACAAATGTTGTACTTCTGGCTTCTAGCAGTATGTCATTTATACATTTAATGAAAATCCATTAATTCAAATGTTACTGGGAGAAGAGGGAGACAGACACATGACACAAAGATACTAACACTTGTTTTCCTTCCTTACAAATAGCGAATGAATGTCAAAAGTCATTGTCCTTGCCAAAAATACAATGCCACTTATCCAACCATGGCTTTAGTAACTGAGAAGCTATTGTGGTTCCCCCAATCAAAATTACAAATAATAAGTTAGTATATAAAATATCCCAATAAAAATATGAATGTAAGAACAGTAACAGTTTAAAGTTTTATAACAGTTTCCTTATTCTTGTTAACCAGGTACTTGAAATTGTGAATGACCCCCTAGTACACAAAATTCCAATCACAAGACGAGAATGTCGGTTTCCTGAAGAAAAGCCAGATCACTATAAACTGTTCAAGTACTACAGCTATTCCACCTGTGTGCTTGAGTGTCAAGTTCTTAAAATGTTGGAACACTGCAAATGTATCAATCATATTCTTTATCCAGGTAACCATGCCCATATGAGGTGGTACCCAAAAGTTATGGGAATGTTTCTGTAACAATGTCTTTGGTAACAGTACTTATTTCTCCAGCTATGAGATGCAGTATAGTTTCACCATCTATGTTATGTTAGGTTAGTGTTCAGTAAAGGTGTGTACAATGTGTTTTGTGGGATTTTAAAAATAAAAATTCAAAGGGAACAAAGAGTTTCCATCAAGTTTGGTTTCCATCTTGGTCAGTTTCTGAAATACATGACAACTAAAGAGTGTTTGGAGGAGAAGCTTTATCACATAAGCACAAATGTACAAAGATGGAGAAACTTCCATAAAAGACAAAAGATGTTGTAGATCTTCATAAATTTTTGATATGGAGCTGTGCAACACAAATTCATCCCCACAAGAAAAACTTTCAATCAGCAGTGTCAAACAGCTGTGCTATGGTGCCCTGAGAAATGTAAACAGGAGATAGGTTATTTCATGACAATGCACCCGTCCACACTACCATGTCCATCAAACAGTTCATGCTGAAGAATGAAATGGCTGTTCTTACACTTTGAAATATGGTGCTGGCAAGTTCTGACTTGAAGCTCAAAAGAAAGAGCTGTAATGATGTTTTAGAGATTCCATAAATTTTCAACAAGGACTTAATTGTATTACAAAATAAAAATTTCAGATGTACTTCCAACAATTACAGAATTGTTGAGCTCAATGCATTAATGTCCTAGAGGTTTACTTTTAATGGGACAATGTGTAAATTTCTGACTTCAACAAATTTTTGGTTCTGAATACATTCTCATTAATTTCTGGGTACTGTTTCATGTTGGTCTTCAAGTACAACTTCATGTTAATACAAAATATGCTGCTGCTTATCTGTGGTAATGAATAGATGAAGTGTGAATTGTAAAAATAAGAATGACAAAAAATTCATCCTGTGGCTTATCTGAGATGTAGAAAAAACTACAAGTCTTTTGAGCTTATTCTCCTACCTGTACCAAGTAAAATTTTCTAATTGTTTGCTCAGACTGGACTATAATGTAGTTGTTTCTTCTATAACATGGTGTTAAAAGCAATTCATATGGCAGGAATTTCTGAAGTTTTCTATATAGCAGTACTATCATTTAATGATTTTATCAAGTGAATTCCACTTCAGGTGTAGTGCTAGTAAATGATCTAATGAATTTTGAGAGAGTAATTTTCAATGGACAGGATATTTCTGAAATAAATGGTATATGAAGTTATTATTTTGATTTTTTCACATTTAACTATATCCATAACCTTAAGATGATTTTAGATTAAACAGGCCAGTTGCAAAATGTTGAGTACTGGCCAAATGCTTAATTTGTAGTCTGCAATATATTTATGTGGTTCACATTATCTCACTATGCATTGCAGGGTTGTCATCCTAAAGATCATCAGCATTTTCTAATATCAGACAATCTAAAGTCATAAATAAAATCTTAGCAGCTGCATGTACAGTAGTATGTCATGTCTGGGGCAAAGTCCAGTCTTAATTTCTTCACTCTAGCTCCCCATATCCCCAGTGAGGAGTCATAAAATTTGAAAGATGAAAGAAAATCAGTCTGGTAAGAAAACACTATAAGAATAGTAGGCCTAAGAAAGCTTGGTTCATACCTGCCTGTTCCCCCACACTGTATCTCTGTTGCAAGCTCTGTTAGTTAATGATGTCCAAGAATAATGTTGTTTATTCTAAGGGCTAAGTGAAACCCATGAAAACTATGTGTGGATAAAATTAATACCTTGGTAGGTTGTACACATAATTACAATTGCCCTAAACAGGTTATATAAACACATAATCCAAACACCGATGCTTGAGAGTACCAATGAATAAAAACTACTAGCATACTTCTTACTTTTCTAATAATTCTCTCCAATTTGTACCTGTTGCTATAAGTACTAAATATACTGATAATGACTATTTAAATAAAAATATAGTATTGTAATACTGTCATACTTAGCTGTTTCAGGCAACTTCACACAGTGTGACATCAATGGGATTAAATGCCTCAACGAAATATACCGTAAGATACTTTATTACTAAAACTATAATTCTATATAGTAGTGTTTAAAATGATAATCCAAATCACATTTTTTCATAATATTGACAATAACCACAGCAATAACTTGCAAATAAGTTAAGTAGTAGCAAGTAGCAAAGATTTATCCCCAAGTATTTGGGGATTGGAAGTGGTACCAACTACCACTCATTGTAAATAAGCTAGTAGGTTATGAAATGTTACAAAATAACTTTGATTTTGATAGATTATTTGGAACAACATAAGAAATACTGAACATGAGATTTGTAACTCTTTCACTAATCTTACTTGGGTCTACTCTACCTTTGGGTTCCATGAAAATGGTGAATCCAATTCTCTCTCTTGCATCCTTTTTCTTTAATCCCTTGAGTTGACATTTCAGTGGTTACCAGCTGTGCCTGGAGCAATCATTGAAAATCTGAATTTTAGATGCGTTTTCCAATCTCATGATTAACCATAAGTTACACATGACTGTCAGAGCAACAAGGCAGTGACTTGAATCATTGGAGAAGACTTGTCTATCATTTAGTGATAAAAACTGAAATTATAAAACTTAGATTTAAACTTGTCATGAGCCTGCTTCATTGTTTTCCAATATGGGGACCATCATAAGTCATGCGTTTACATCAATATTCCAATAAAATGGTTAAGTTCCATTCTATTACTATGCTTGTAACTATGACAAGGTCAGCCAACCAAGTCTGAGACCCCACATATTATTTCTTAACATGCTGTTTTTTCCATGGTGAGAGGTCATTCTCATGAAGATTTTGATTGCTTATGTCAAGACTTCAGCCACAACATCTGCAAACTGATTGTATGTATATGCTTACAATGCACTTGAAATGAAAAGTGTTAATTGTATGACTTTTTTAACAGTTGACCTAGTAAAATTGAGGGCAAAACACTCAGAAAATGAGAACGAACCAGGTATTATATGTGACTGCAGTGCTGACTGCAAAGAACCAGACCAATTTGTGATACATGTAGAGAAAAAGTAAGTTCACTATATACACACTACAGCAATACTTTGCTTTTTCATAATGCCAGAATGTGCGTCTTATTAGTTTATTAGATTTGGCTACAATACTACAGTTCCTCAATATGTGGCATAAAAGTTGCAGTTACATTTTTTTGTAGTCTAACTATGCTAGGTTACACCTACTGATCAAGCTGGCAAATATTTGTTCTTGAATGTGAACATACTGATTACCTCTTTCAGAACTGCTCCTCTAACATATTATTATTATTTTCACTTAGAGAAACTAAAAAAGAAAGCAGTGATATCAAGTTTGTGATGCAAACCCTTCCAAATGAACGATTACGAAGAAATGTTATCCGAAGCAAACTGGACTTAGTTGGTAAAAGCACAAAACACAGTTCACTTTAATCTACATATAGCTTTAGAAACTTTCAGTCAAGAGATATAATTACTGATATTAAGGTGTATTCTCTGTATATGTGTAAAAAGTCAACATGAAGATATTCAATTACACTTTAGAAACCCTCAGTCTGAACGTGTAAGACTGAATCCTTTCTGGAGCAGCTTACATTTATAATTATTGGGTTATTTAACAATGTGTTTTGAACTGTATATGTTTATATTGGTCAGATGACCTCTAGTTTTGAGCTGCAGTGACCCAGGATTTCTGTGTGGAAAGACAATACACAAGAAATGTATTAGTGGATCTTAACATGTGGATATATCAAATACAAGATATAACAACACAATATAAGCCTCAAATCACATGCCATGGATTTATAATGCAGAATTATTTTAGTACTGGACAAAACATTATAACGTTTGATATAAAATTTTAACATTTTAGTATTCTAGAACACAGTGTGTATGAGATGATGTCACAAATTCAATTCAATCACTTTCCATAAATGTAAACAGAGCCCCAGATATGGTATGCAAGGAATAAAATATGTTGGGCATTAAATTAATAATCAAGATCTAGTTATACCTAATGGTTAATTTACTGCTGAAATACATTTATGGAGCCCTGAATCATTCTTTTCTCTCCCAGTATCTTTAGGTGGGATTGCAGGGTTATTTCTTGGAGCAAGTCTAATCAGCGCTGTGGAGCTACTTGTTCATGTCTTTATAAGGATCTGGACAGCACATTCACTAACAGGTCACAGCAATGTACTTGAAGATATACCCAGACAACGCAAGAAATGTTTTAAGAAGCCATCATCAATTGTACAATATACAAGTAGTGAATCTGGTAAAAAGCTTCCATATTATGGGAAGGATTATGGTGTTGCTACAGTTTTCATTTAAATTCTTCACTATTCATGTAAGAAGAGATGTGTTGCTGTCTCTATTCATTCACATTTCTTTACCTTTTTAGCAAACTGCACTTTTTCAGATTAAACACCTTTAACCATTATATTGTGTTTTATGTCTGAATCTTGTCTTATTAGTCACTCTCAAAATGTTAATCTGTGATTTATCTATGTACTGTAAAACATATTAAAAATTATATAAAATGAAAAGATATTATGTATGAAAATCATTGTGTATAAACAATTTATGCATACATACATGCATGCCTATTTATCATAACTGTTCAAATTTTACCTGAAATTTTGATCAATGCATTCCAGTAAATCACTTTACTCATTTTGTATTAGGCAGTCTTCTCTTTTTTTACTTTCTCTCTGTAGGTACTCCCCTTCCCTTAATCACCACACTTCTCACATACCATAAAATGGTTGTGAAAAATGACCCTAATACAAATCATTACTTAAAAGAAACAAAGGAAACTTCAAAGGAAACCTGATCCACCCTTCAAGATTGCTTTTCGGCACAAATTTATTCAGTTTTTACCATAACACCAGTACAACTACACTTTTTAGCATTAGACTTTTTCAAATGCCACTGGTTATTACTAAACTTAATCACTGGTAGTGTTAGTACTGTTGAAAGTAAAATTTACCACTATGAATTTATCTGACTTTATGTGGCCTTGGTAATAGCTTCTCCTCCTCTTTGTAACAAAGGAGGCTCTTCCAAATTCATGTTCATAAGAATTTTTTTGAACCTGTTATTACATTTGAGCCAGACCATTTAAGTTACTCCCTCTATAATAATGAGACATTCTCACTTCCTTTTATGTTTCTCCCTTTCTGATTATATTACTGAGATTCAAGAGGACTTTATGAAGAGATCTGCTCTTTATTAATTTTTCACCAAACTAAATTAACCCTAAGGTTCAAGCAATTTAATACATTTTCTTACGATCATAAAAAATATTACCTTAATTTGGTAAGTCCTTACCACTGGCTTTGCTTTTTGGTTATTTGTTTAAACTGGTATCCTTTCACTGAGAAATTTTACCATAGACAAAATATTTTTCTGTATTGCTTGATAAGTGGTCCTCCCTTTCTGAATTCTTCAATATTCAGACAAGAGTATACTAACAATGCAGAAGAACCATCTCATTACATTAGGTCAAAAATATCTTTATATACATACACACATACATACACATACAGTACAAATGTGCTGTTTGTAAAAATATATTGCATGAGATGCATACAATACAAAAATTAGATCAAAACATATAACCTATTAAATCAAATTTCACTCTTTGGTTATGAATAAATTTTACATATAAACATCACTGTAACTTGACCAGAGTTTTATTCTTCTTCTTGCTGGTCCCATCTGAATTCATTTTACTATGGCATCTAGTGTCATTTAGATATAATGAGATGTCAAATTCTTAGAAATTATTAACCTCAAATGAAGTACAAGACAGATATAAGTTTAGTAATTAATGATAATGTTACATATATACATATATATATATATATATATATATGTATATATTATGTTAATGTTAGTTCTTTTTAGAGATCAAATTCTTATTTAAGTTACATTTTTAAAGTTCGTTTGCATTAATTATGGAGGATTTTAATTAATTTGTTTTTTTATTTATTACAGTGTTTCATAATTCCCTTCATCTGCTATAACCAGACCTAACTCTTTCGAGTCCATTTATGTGAATGTAATGCCCCACTAGGTCTAGTTTGTTTTGTTTGAATTTTAAAATCATCACAAACAATATGACCCTGGACTGGAATTTGATTTTCTAAATGTCAGAAATGACACTTCAGCAAAGGATGCCTATGACATTTAATTCAAAACATTACAAACTTCCAGGCACAAATTTAGTTCTTCCAAAGCTTAGCACCCTTTGCCTTCTAAAATAAAACTGGGTGGAATATAAATTCCAAATGTCAGACTGAGAATGAGATGGGGATCAGGAAGGGTTAAAACATTACCCTAAAAGTAAATATTAAGATGAAGCATGCCTTTCATGAAAGATCATTTGCAAGATACATTTAAAATGACAGTGTGCAAATGTAAAATTTGTAGTACATGTATTTCTATGCCTTCAGCTCAACTGATGGTATTTTTATCACAAACATTACAAAACCCACCCTTGCAGAAGCACAGAGGAGAGAAAAAGACACACAGAACTCAACAATACTCTTGCTGCAGCTGACGAATGGTTTTCATGACTATGAGAATAAGGCTTGCTGGAACAGGCTCTGCTACAATCTTCTCCTTCACAGATATCACACAATGTGGCAACTCTGGGTTCATAAAACACCCTGGCACGACGAGCTGAGAAAGAACAAAATAATCATAGCTTTTGAAATGTAAACCACATTAATATGTAAAGAATATACATGTACAGGTTAATATACTCACATGAATCATAGTAATCATAAATGGTAACTGGAACCGGCTTCTGCTTGGCTACTTTGTGTGTTCTGAATGCTGAGACTGTAGGACAGTATTCTTGTTTTGTCATCTGAAACAGGAAGTACACATACTGAACTTTGTAAAAGGTGGGCTAGAGAGATGCCAAAGTACCCTAGTAACCCAGTGACCTGATGTCAGGATATGATTGAGTAACAAGGATGTGTGTACTAAGATCCTGAGAGCACAGGACTTCTAAATGCAGTCCCTGAAGTTTCCCATTCCGCTTTATGTTCATTTCTTGCAATATAATAAAATATATTTTGAATGGAATCGGAAGATAGCAAACTTTTTTCTATTTAAATAGTATTAAAAATTATATTAAAATTGGCCGTCAATCACAATATAAGATAATTAAAAGATTAAAATATCATTTTTCGTTCCGTATCGAGTACTCGATTTACATATGGAACATTTACGACATGTTTCGGCTATCATAGAATTAAGGAATTTAACAACATAAATCAAAATATACAATTTATATTAGAACTTGAACAAAATAACTCACTAAACTATTTAGATTTAACCATAATAAGAAAAACAAACAATTTCGAATTCAAAATTTACAGAAAACCTACAAATACAAGCACAATAATTCATGCCTCATCTTGCCACCCCATTAAACACAAACAAATGGCTATCAACTACTTACTAAACAGAAAAAATCTATATCCAATATCTATAAAAAACAAACAAATAGAATTAAACATCATTCAACAAATTCTTAAAGAAAACGGATATAATAACTACAAACTAAATAAAAAACCTAATAATACAACAAAACCCAACGAAAACGAAAACATACAAAATAAATGGGCCACATTTACATACATAGGTAAAGAAACCAAATTCATAACTAAATTATTTAAAGAAAATAAAATAAAAACGGCCTACAAAACTAAAAACACAATAAAAAACATCCTCAAACAAAAACCAATAATGAACATAAACAATCAATACCACTTACCAGGTATATATAAAAATGATATTTTTATCTTTTAATTATCTTATATTGTGATTGACGGCCAATTTTAATATAATTTTTAATACTATTTAAATAAATCACAATATTACGCACCTACAATATCTTTTTTTATATTTCAAACCAATAACTTACTTCTCACAAAAACAGAATCCCAGATGACTTAGCCCATGTACTTTCGCTTGTGATCCAAATGACAAGTTGGAAATTAATTTTTTATATTGGATTTTGCTCTGTATACTAGGGACCAATAACATTTTTTAATTAAGACAGGTCTCTGTTTAGTCTTGAATCAGTTATGTGGGTTTTACTATACAAATTCAAAGACAGAATTAATCAGCAGAAGCAATTTTACACTCTACAGAGTAGGGGTTTTCAACCAGCAGCCTGCCAATGTGTTCTGTGTGGAACACACTTATTTCTGTGCACTCTTCATAATGAAAAATTATACATATCAGAAAACATGTCTTGTTAATGTCTGGTATTTGGCAGTACCTATCACTGTGAAAAACGTTTTAGCTAAATGAATAATGTTAAATCAATCCTTGGATGTATCTTATTGATGAACATCATTTTCAGGCTCCATACTCCTGCTCTTCATTGATAAAATTACTTATTTGTGTATGTTAATAGAATGTAACAAAATTAATGTGCTTTGATCTTCTGTTACTTGATAGCAGTACACACCTTGTCAAAGTACAACATTACAACAGTGTCTCCATTCTTGGTCTCCACTCGCTTCACATTTTGAGACATTTGTAAACTGGGCAGAGTATCTGAGTCTACAGTAAAACCAGATGGCAGTGTCACCTCCATTACAGCCATATTGCTTTCATTGACTCCTTGTGCCCCAACAAACCTAAAGCAAGAGATATCAACTCAAATTATTAGACTATTTACAAATATAAATCTATTTGAAAATTTGCAAGTGATGCAGCATATACAACTTTGCAATGGTTAATTATTACATATTTTGTGCTGTACTGATTAGATCTTTAACTATGCAAAACAGGAAAAGAATTTTCCCATTATATGCCTTCTACTCTCCAGTCTTTTCCTTCTTACATGCCTCATTCCATGCTTTGAAAATCATTGGTTAAAATATTGTTCTCATATAAGTAATGTCAGATTTTACACTTATTGTATTCCTCACAAGCATTTGCTCTGTAAAACTGTAAATTGAGTTCCTACTTCTGGTTTGAGATGTAATTATAAACTTTTGTGTTTTGTTCCAAAATCTCATCCTTCTTGATTTAATCATCCTAATAATATTCAGAGGCTACTAACCATTGCATTTTGAAAACTACTAAATCATCTAAGTATTATAAACTTATATTGTCTTGATCCCTATACTAATTCATGCTGTCCATGGAGTGGATATAACACAGTGTGCTTAATTTGTGAAAAAGAAGATATGAAATTTTGAACTCCATTTCCACAGCTGTGTACCAGTTAGTCCTGATAACAATGAAACACTTAAGTGTATCACTGCACATATACTCTGCTGCTTTACTAACATTGTATAGCATAAGATGCTTTAATTCATTTATAAAAATACAGAACTTTGCTGTTTGAAATCTTAAATCTTACCCAGAACATATTGAGAGTTGGAGGTGGTTACTGTCTGAGTTCTTGTCCACTTGTGGGTCAAGTGTGAATAGTGGCCATGCTCCGGTCACATTCAAATTGTAGTGATATGACACTTGGACAACTGCAAATCCTGATCCTGAAGCTGATATGTCTATATTTCTGACTTTACCAGGAAGCTGAAAGCATAATTAATACAACATAATGCAACACTAGGTGTGGTCTCTGCCTTGAAGGAAATTTCTATTTGAGAAACAGCTAGCACAGTTTATTTGTATAGTTCCAACCAGCATTGCTATTGCAGTCTGTGTTGATACACCAGTAGCTGGAAATAAATTAATGACTGTGTACTGAAACAACAACAAAGCGGTTTGTGGAACTGTGAGTCACATTTTACATATTTAAAGCAGCAACATATGTGTAAGACAGAAAATAAAGGAAATCATTACACTGTGTTCTTGTTTACAACTTCACATTCATAAACATTACAATCCTACACCAGCACATATTTCCAGTAACAGAAAGCTGCCAAACAATAGCAGCTGTTGCCAAGAATGTGCTAGAAATGAAGGCAATAAATAAAATTTCATAATAAACATCTTTCAACATAGTGCATCTTATTTGTTTGGAAGGATTAGACCTCAGATGATATACATAACACATTTTACAATAAGATATGTCTGAAAACCAAAAAAAGAAAAACTCATAAGTTGAAAATAAGAAAAACTATCATTACAAATACCAGAGTTGTTTTCAATAGTAATTAAAACATTCTTCTTATTTCTTTCTTTATATTGTGTCATGTGCACAGTCATTTACCAATTACATCACCA